TAAAAACACAGATGAGGTGAAGAAACTCGAGATAATAATAGAAGTTATTCTTCTCAACTCTGTACTTCTGGTTCTCCATCCTTCTCTAAGCTGCTTTGATAATGCAAGCATCCGGTTTCTCTTTAGTCCGACACTTAGCTCCATGCAATCAATATGTGTATTTGTGCACGTATCTATAAAGTAAAGCATATGCTCTTTAACGATGCAGTCATGTCTGACTTTTTTTAAACACATAAACATTCTTAAAGCTTTTTAGCATAATGCTGCGAGCTGTGAGACAGTGCAGTGCCTTTCCCTGTGGCAGAGAGCAAAGGCGGTGTTGAAGGGTAGTTTCAAGTCAGGTCTAGGAGCCAAGGCCGAGTCCACCATTCAAATAGCTGTGTCCTTTGCTTGACCCTGACTAACAAGTCTGGGTCTCAGCCTCCTTACCTGTAAAGTAGGAATTCTGCCTTAGCTACAAGCACCAGAAGTCAGGTGTGTTACGTAAAGTGTGGGGCTGCTAAGGAAGGCTTAGAAAATGTCCACAATTGTCCATATCTTCTTGAACCCATGCAGGTTTTTTAAATGTGACTCTGTAGCTCCTCCCACTGAGAAGTGGGGTCTATTTCACCACCCCCGAATCAAAACTGGTCCCCTGACTTCATGGAAAAGAATGAGTTGGATCAGCTGAGCCACGGCCACTCACTTCCACTGTCCCGTCCCCCCCCCGATGCCATACGGAGACAACAGGTGCCAGGCTGTGAGTCACTGAACTCAGGCTCAGCTGCTCCCCAGGTGACTCAGTCACCAGCTCAGACTCAGAGGCAGAGTGAGCACAGATACATGAAAGAGCTCGGACAAGACTCACCCAGCTGAACTCAGCCCAAACTGCTGACCCGCAGGGCCATAAACTCAACGAAGAGTGGTTGTTTTCGGCCATTATGTTCATTACTAACGTTAATAATCCGAGGGTAAAGTTACACAGCGACGGATAACCAACGCTGTGCAGGCGAGCGGCTTTTCAATGAACAGAGGCTAGCTATGTTTTAGGGGAAAGGTTAATTGAAAATGAAATTTCTATATACTAAAATTCATGCTAGTTAATCAGTAGCAGGAAGAACCAAAACTCAGAATCTGGACCTAATGGGCAGCTCTATGAACTCCTATAGTATTGTTTGACAAAGTCTTTGCTCTAGCTAACTTTCTCCTCATTTATAAATTATTTAGAACAAGTGACTCTTTAAGTTTTTATTCAAAATAAGCATTTTCAAAAGCACTTATTTACAGAAAGGCAATTCAGAACTCAATTAGATAACAATAGTTTGTTTGTTTTTTGCTAGTTTAATCGGAGACAAACGTGCTTGCATTTCTTTGCTGGCTCACAGTGGGTTGTGAGTAAAACATTTCACTGTTATCATCCTAGCCACACCCTGAACCCGTAGGGTGGAATCTCCGTGTGGACTCTGAACTCGAAGAGCTAAGCTTGTCAGGGCTCAGAGAGGAACCAATGCCGTATAACGACAATGATTTACAGGTGAAAGCCAACCTCGCTCATTCACTTCCAGGTTGCAGTCCGTGTTTTGGAGATGCAGCAGCCTCGTCGTTAACCAAGAAGGATGCTGCTTTGTAGCTCTAGCGCAACGGTCCTCAACCCTTTGGGGCTGCGTATCAGGCATTTACTGATGATTCGCCATAACAGGAGAAGAATGACAGTTATGAAGTAGCAGCAAAATGGCTTTCTGGTTTGGAGTCGCCGAGACATGAGGAACCGTATTAAAGGGTCGCAGCCTTAGGAAGTTTGAGAACCACTGATCTAGCCAAATCTTCGCATTTACTTCATATGAACGACCAATTTAGGTATTTGTTATTGGATGGGGTGGGGGTGGGGTGGAAAAAACAAGACAAAAAGGAAAGTTGAAATTTTTTTTCTGTCACAATCTTTTCTGGGGCTAATGAACAGTGAGTGAATTTCAAAAGTTAGAAGATGTGCACCAACACACACCGCAGGCAGCTTGGAGTCAGCTACCGAGAGAACGCCCCTCCCGGCAGGCACCGGTTCTCCTAGACCGATAAAACTCCTCCAAGCACCACACAGCTCGGGGATTACACAATCCAGAGGCAGGAGACGTTTGTTCCAACAGGAATTTATCAGAGAGTGTATATACGAGGTAATAGTTTATCTTAAATTTCCCTAACACTTCAAAGTCCGCCTGAAGCAAACGCCGCTAACTAGGCGACCACTCAGTCTTACGAAAAGCCTTTGGTCTGTGACGGGAACAAACTATAAGGTGCAGCGTGACTGTTTGCCAACCAGGAAAAAAAATGCTGTTTTGGAAACAGCCTGCAAACGAACATGGAAGACCCGGGGCAGCAGACTTTCTCACAGTTAAGATTGGAAGTCTGACACATCGTGAGCCGACCCACGTCTCCATCTCCTCTGTGAAGCCGTGCAGCGGCGGCCTTCCGCCACGTTTGTAGACGCCCCCATTCCGTCCTTTCACTGCAGCCACAGTAAACTTTCCCCAACAGGTATGTGCCTGGCTTCAGACCCTGCACAGGTTTCTCTCAAGACGAGCCCCAAGCTCTCTGTGTCCCTGGCACCTTGCCAATTGCCTGGAGTCAGTGGGTTCACACATATGTGGTCTCTGGGGCCAGGTCAGAGTTCATTTGCTTTCGGAGAGCTGCCTGCTCACGGAAAAATGTCAGACAGCACATTTCTCTGATCCTAGTTGACACTCACTGCAGCTCAGTCGGGTCTAGGGTTTCTGACAGCACTGAATTGTAGGTTAAGCTATTTAATTATCTGCTTCAGAAACATATCCACAGTTTTAAGCATATTTTAAGACGAGATCATTTTTATGGTCTATGATCTTTTTGAAGATCCCAGTCTGTGCAGGACCATGATATTTATAGGGGGAAACATGATTTGATTTTCAGTTTGTTCTCTTCAGTAGAAGTCAGGAAATAACCATAAGAAAAGTTTCAGCTAGGGGCCAGTGTGGCTCTGGGGTTAAAAAGAGCATGACAGAGGGGCCCATCGGACCTGCAGATAGTGAGTTCTGCATGCCTGTCCACCCTACAAAAGCCCAGTCAGCTCTCTCCAGTTTTCTTCTCTCAATTACCTAGTGAGTCTATCTGCAATCAGCCCATCACTCTACTGACCAAATTTAGGAATGAAAGAGGCTCTTTGGGCAAGAACCCCAAAGAGCCCAATATTCAGGGTCGCTGGGAATTTGTATACCTGGTACATGTGAGACACTGTTTAGGAAAAGGAAACTAGCTCTGAAGAGGTTAGCAATCAGTTATTTAAACAAAACAAAACAAAAAACAGTCATTTCTAAGAAGCTCAGGTACCAGGGTCCTGGGGCACCTTGGCCAGACAGTTCTGAGAGGAAAGCAGTCAGCACCTGCTTTGCCCTTGGACCAGCTCCTGCCCACAGCACTGAGAAGGCAGTTTTCAGGTTCTGAGAAGTGCTGGCTCAGAAGTTAGGGAATCCTTCCATTTTTAGAAAATGGAACGTGCTCGAGTGATAAGCAAGTTTTTGTTTGTTTGTTTGTTTGGTTGGTTGGTTTTAAACTCCAGGTATATAAAATTTCTTTGGAATATAGTAAATATGAGCATCCACATTTTCACAGACAATGAGTCCCTGGGGGGCATGAAATAAACATTTATTTGTACAATAAGTGGAGGAGCAGGATCAGAAGTTGGGCAGAGTGGGCGAGCTGGAGAGGGGAACTACAGGTCACCTTCCTGTCACTGTCTATTTCTCCTCAGTGAGCCTTGGAGCTGGTTGTTCACTGAGTTTTCCTAATGTACAGGAACGCTGCAACCCAGGACTCCCCTCAATGATGGAGGCTCCATATTGTTGTTATGGAGATCTGCCTGCCCTGGCACAGGGATTTTTACTGAAGGAGCTAGCAAGGTGTTTCAGAAACAGTGGTGTTTACATGGAGAGAGCTGCTGTATTCTTCAAATAGCAGTAACTAGAAAATTACATAGGAGATAGTATTATTTCCTTCTTAAATTAGTATTAACTAGTAAGTTATACAGAAGATACAACTGTATCCTTAAAATAATACTAACTGGAAAATTATATGGGAGGAAAAACTCCAGCAAATATACAACCTGCCACCTGTAAAAACAACTACTTTCCTTTCTTTTTATTTGTCGTTACAAGGTTTTCTTTGCTCCAGCGATTATTCTTGACCAGAGCTGAGTAGCACCCACCCAAGGCATCCATCCACAAGCCGCCACCACCAAGCACTCTCTCCTCAAAAGTGACGGAGACAACAAACACCTTTTCTTTAATTTGAAACGTTTCCTGGAACACCCACTTCCGCGCAAAAGTCCATATACCACGATGGAAACGAAAACGTTCGGAGTCACTGGCGACGGGTCCTTTGGTTTTGCGTTTAGGCTTAATTACGTTCCGGGAGGGGTGAAGGCCTCGCTGATACCTGCCTGGTATTACTGAACTCCTCCCTGGTAAAAATCCCACCTCACCGGGGCTGTCCAGGCCGCGGAGACCCAGGTGACTGACCCCGGAGACACTTGTCCATTAAAAGTTACAGCGCGCGACACGTGGCCCCCTCCCTGTGGCGCCCAGCCTCCAGTCCCCGGCCCGCGGGCACCGCCGCGTCACCGTCCACGCACCCTCACCTTCGCGGGGACCCAATCCCAGAACCAGGGGCATCGCGGAGAAGGGCGGGCGCGGCCGACCCCCTTCCCGTTTTCTTCGGTGAAAGCCCCCAGATGCCTAAACACGGTGGAGCCCGGACCCCGGCGGACGGACAGAATCTCTGGCGGCCTGTCCAGTTCCCAGGCGCCGCTCGGAGCTCTCGGCTTGGGAGTTTGGAAACAGCCCCTTTGGCCCACCGGCGCGGGCGCCTTTCGTCCGGGCTGGCTCCCCGCCGTCCGCGCGGCAGTGTCTTCCCGCGCTAGGATGGACGCCGTGACCCTCCCCGGGGGCGCCCCGTGGGTCCCCGGCTCGCTCGCCCCCCGCGCGCGGGCCGCCGCTTACCTGCGTCGGGGCGGCGGCTCCGGGGAAGCGGCGCCC